GCTCGGAGATCGTGGCCCGCCACACTTGAGCGGTTCCCCGGCCGGGCGCCGTGTGCTTCCTTCTCCCCTGGGAGCCTGGGACCTCTCCATCCCTCTCCAGCACTTTCAGGGCTGTGGAGCCACCCCCTGTCAACGGCCGTGTGGCCAGCCCTGGGGAGCCGAGGGCTAGCGAGTGCACAGCCGCGAGCCTCTCTCCATCTCCTGGGACTTCCGGGAAAGGGAGCCCTTCCCTCATCCCAGGTATAGCCCTGGCTTTGGTCGTGGCGGGTTACCTTTTGGACATAAGCTTCCCCATCCCAACTTCCAGCCTTCCAGTCTCCCCGCCTTCTCTTGAAGCGCCTCCTGGGTGCAGCTTTGACACAAAGCCCCGGTTTCCCTGCCCTAGAGCCTTTTGCCTCTGACTGGCAGCCTTTGGCCTGTGTTTTCTATTCCAAGAGAGGAGGCTGCCTCTTCCTGGATACCCTTAACTATAGGTGTGTCCCTTGGGGGCCTTGCCACCTTGGAATTGAGGTGTCCCTGGACTCAGATAGAAAGAGCCCATTGCAGTAAGCTCTAAAGAACTCATAAGCAGAGACACGCTGGGTTGCGCGATGTCTATGCAGCGCCTCTATTAATTGATCACACAGACACCAAAAAGTATTTTCTCTGCATATGCTGCCTCTCACCTCTCTCTCTATTCCCCCTTTCCTCCATCCTCACCCACTCAGTCTTCCCCTTCCTGCTCTCTCCATCTCTCCTCCTCTCTCTTCCTCCCACCCCACCATCCACATCTAACCCTCATCCCACCTGCCAAGGGGAATAATTGATAAACAACAGAAGGATGCAGAAAACTCAAAGGAAGACTCTGCTTCCTGTGTTTTTTTACTTTGGGTGAGAAAGGTGAGGGCAACCGAGTGTTTCTGGAGGCAACACTAGCAAACCCTGCTTCCTGGAGCCAGGGGGAAGCCCAGCACTTAGCTGTCAGTGACCCCCTCCCTAGGCCAGGGACCCCCGTTTGCTCTGAGAGCCTCGGTCAGATGCCTGCCTGGCAGCTTGCTGCTTCTCCCCTCTGTGCTGACGTGGTTGACATCTACAGTTTTGTTTGATAACATAATAAAAACAACAGTTGAAATGAAATGTATATAAAGTCTAAATATTAACTAGATATCTGGTGCCAAAGAGGGAGAGAAATTGTTAATCAAATAAGATGAAGAATGTGGACTTTTCCCAGAGTGTACAAAAGCTCACTGCTGCTCTCAGCTGGACACGGGTTTCCTTCACTGCAGCTGTAGCTCTGATAAAGATTATTCTTTTATAATATATTTTTATGGTACACTAGAGACTTCTGAAATGCAGAGCCTGGTGCCCTGTAAATCATTCCATGTAACTAGGGATGCTTTTTCAAACACCACACAACTGCATTACCATAATGTTAATGGGATCTGGCCAACCAGGGCTGAGAGAAACTCAAGCTGTGCCTAGACCTCCCTGCTGTTTCAAGTCCAACTCTGGGGTGGTCAGCCAAGATCAAAACAGAGATTGCCATTATTGTAGCCTGTCTCCCTTAAAACGCTCAGACATCAGGACACCCAGCATGTGGCCCAGGGACTCCCCACAGCCCACACCTAGTACTCCTGCTGCACTTCCCCACTCAGGCTGTCTGCAATCAAATCAAGTCTGCTCTGTATCCATTGAGTACTGATGTACTCTGAAACTCAGAAAGGTTCTTGTAAAATGGTACTGAAACCTAACCCAGAGGTGGCAAACTGGAACAGATTGTGGCTAACACAGTAATGGTAAGAATTTGAACTGGTTGTTATATATATATATATATAGCGCACACACTTATACACACACACACACACACACACACACACACACACACACACACACACACACACACACACACACTGTAGGGATTCTTTAAAACAAACAAACAAATCTGGATTTGAGATTGCTGTTGAAAAATCAGCAGATCCAACAACTTTGGGTCCCTCAACCTAAGCTGAGGAGTTACTGGTCCCTCAACTGGACCATGTGTGCCCCGCTTGACTGATGCTCACTCAGATTGCCCTGCACTGCATTGTATTAATTGTCTACAAGGTCATGATCAGTCCAGATGGACTTGATGGCAATGGGTTGGTTTCGTGAGGAGAGGTCCTTCTACTAAGAATACTTCCCAATATCCCTTATCCTCACAGGCCAAATCCTTTTCTCCCTACCCTTTGCCCCACAACCAAATCCTTTTCTCCCTACCCTTTGCCCCACAAATATTATATATATATTTATATATATATAAATATAAGGGTTGCTGTCAAGTCAATCTGTAACTCATGTTGCTCAATGGGAAGTGGCCACTGTGTACCAGAGTGAAACTGTACCCTATAGGTTTTCATAAATGGCTTTTCAGAAATAGATCATGGGGGTGGACTTCAACTGTGTTAGGTTAGCGTCCATGTGTGTTCAAGCCCTCACACTACCCTTACCTCCAGGTAGTCACACATGATCAAGACCCTCTTGATAAGGGGGGAATTCGTTCATGACCAGGTCCCACAACCGATGCTGGGACAGTGATGTTTTGGGAGGAGAATTTTGCTGATTTCTGTTTATTTATTTCCAACCTTGATCCGGGATTGTTCTAGGGGCCATTTCTAGAAAAATCTACAGTGAAAAGTAAGAGTTTGCTACAAAGGGAGGACAAGTTTCACTAAGCAATTCACAGTGTGTCTGGAGATTTCCTTCCACTGCCCACCCTCATATTCATTCAGTCCTATCTGGGTTTGTACAGTATTACTCGAAATGGCCAGGGTTTTGTTGCCTAATTTCCATTCATCCTTGATAGCAATCGCAGATCAATGTCTCTCAGGCTAACCTCTCGTGCCCCCCTCTCTGACTCAGAATCCTGCCTAGAAAACGTCACCCTCCTTGACTTGGTATTCTAGCCCCTAGGAACAGACCTTTCATATTTCTCAGTCTTGCCAAACTAAATGATTTCTATTCAAATATAGAAACTGTATTATTAGGTTCCACCTCTGTATTATTAGATGGTAGAGTTAACACAAAGCTGTCCTTGGGTGGCTAAGTAGCTCTTAACAGGTCATTTCACCTCCCTGAGCCTCGATTTCTGCATCTATAAATTGTAGATGATCAAATGAACCTCAATTTTTCAGTTATAAAGAATGGAATTGAATTAGATAGCATATGCAAAAATACCTGGCTCCATGCTCAATAATTATTTTGATCTAACTGAGGACTCATGCCAGTCCCTGTTTGTGCTCCTATTTAATATTATCCTTCCAAAACACATGCATTCCCTTTCTAAAGCTAACCCACATGTAAGCTGAAGTTCACGTTCCTAAGCTGTCAGTTCATAGCATTTATAATGTCACTCTCATAACTCTCATAGTATTCCGAAGCAGCAGAAACAAATCCCAGATAATTCCAACTTTTGCATGTTTTTTAAAAAATTAATTGACTAGAATGATTGATGATAATTGAAGAAAATTTTCTAAATCAATAAGCAAACAAAAAGCATAAATAGACTTTTGAAAGGACAGTACAAAGTATGTCAATCGTTACGGCCATTTACCAAATATTGCCAGTTCCCCCTGAGGGCACATACTAAGAATGTACTTTGTGGACCTCGAAGTTACCGGTGATGATACGACTTTCTTTGGCTGAGCCTCTCTTGGGCCTCCAACTTTGAAAAGGACTATGAGATGTAGCCCTGTATTATTTTAAATTCCTGTGATTTGAGGGTTATTTGTTACCACAACCCATCCTCATCTATCCTACCTAATTAAAAAACACATGTTGATTGTTTTTTTCTGTGAACACAGATGATTTCAGTAAACCAATATTATAATTTCCTTTCACAAAGTTG